GGTTTCCAGATTGTAGTGTACTCTGCTGCGGTAATCTGATTACCTCTGAGTAGTTAAACAGTAAAAAAACAAGGAAGCCAGAAAAGCTCATTTCCAGGCAGCTTCTGGACGTTTTTCTTTTTTTATCCACAGAACATGAAGGAAACGATGAGAAACGGCAACTATTGCACAGCAACACAATCAATGAATACAAAGTCAAATACAATCAGATGTCAGGAGCTAAACGAGGCTAACGAACCTTCCTCTGCACAAACCCAAACGTCTGGTTCTAGGATGGGAAGCTTTCCAGGTTCTGCAGAAGCATCCGGATCGTCTGCATTCCGCCTCAAAGCTCAACCAGGTTTGGCAACTTAAGAACATTTAGAAAGACGAACCTTTATGAACAAAAACATGAAACCAAACAGCAGAGGAAGATTTTTAAATCGGTATTTCTCAGCAGGCTAGATGTAGAGCAGTTAGACAGGCTTCATCATGTCAACATACAGGCCTGAACCTAAAGTTCTCTAAAAAACTAAAGATTTCCTTTGAATAGATCTTATAAAAACGACTTTGTGGCACAATAACTGGATACAATCAGTGCCAAACATTTAATAAATAAAGTTATAAATAAAAGAGAAAATGATGAAACTAAATGAGAAACATGCTCTAAGACACTTTGATCCCTCCGTCCGCTGAAGCGTCTTCCTCCGCCCCGTCAGATGAATGAAGGTCGGCGTCTGCTTCGTGCCGTAACTCCGCCCCCCAGTGTCTGTTCCGCACAGTTCATGAAATAAAGGCTCCTCCGCAGGAGGGGGGGGGGTGCATGCTCCCAAAGCTGTAGAACTAGGCTGATCAGATGAACCACTCCTTCTTGCTCTCGTCGATGGTTTCGGTGAACGCCGGGTCGTTGACGATGATGGCGGCGTCGGCGCAGTTGGCCGACTCGGCGCCTTTGGCCTCGTTGGTGTGATACGAACCTTTGTGACGAAACATGTGGCGGACGACCAGCACCATGACGCACAGCGCCGCCGCGACCAGCAGCGCGACCACGCCTGCAGAGAAACACCCAGGAAGAAAATACTCAACAGCTGCTTTGTGGCGGCCATCTTGGACGCCATTTTTCATGGTTCATTTTAGGGCTGAAACAATTATTCATTATTTAGTGATGGATTCATCGTTAACTGGAGGATAGAGACTATCGCTGCCGTTAGCCGACAGCAGGAATTAGACACAAATGATAAAAAAAACTATTGTTGTTAATCTGTTGTTTCCAGAATTTCTATAAAATCTCTGATTATTAATCAAATAATTTATTGACAGATTAATTATCAGCTTAGTTCATGTCAGGTTTTTGAATCATTTCCGAAGGTTAAAGGCTCGGGGGTGCGTTCAACAAACCCTGAATTATGTTCATATTCAGTCAAGCTGATAAAAATCAAACGGCTACTTTCTAGACTAAACTTCCTGCTTATCGGCATAATTTAGTGTTTTTTTACTTCAAAAAATTCAGTTTTTGCTCCAAAAATGTAATTTAGAAAAATCTATTATTACAGTTCAGTCTAGGATTTGGATTTCTATCATGAAGAATCTTATTTTAGGAAGAGAGGAGAGTGCTTTAATAAATGTAGAAACGGCTTGCCATGGCCCACTCTAGATAAACCGCAGCATTAATCTCCATCTTCCTCTGATTTGCAGCTCTAGCGCCGATTCTCTATCTATTAAACACTTTCTATAGTCATGGCCTAAAGTTTGAGAATGATTCAAATGTTAATATTTCCAAAGTCTACTGCTTC